TCATCTTCATGTTGCACGAAACGAAAGGACATTCCTGTGTCTGCTCAACAAATCGGGTCCCAATTATTTCATATTCGAGCGAGTCTTTCCTTTCTTACTGTGCAGTAGACGAGGCGCAGTGTTGGGATCGAGACAGAAAACAATAACCAATGCTGAATGTTGCACTATTTCGCCTACATGTAGACGTCACTAAGATTTTTTTGTTCCTTTTTAATAAAATAGCTTTTACCAATCTTTTATGCTCAGTACTACGAGTGTTAATTATTCTAGACGGCTTGTGGCCAGGGCAAAATGTCATGTAGCACCCTAAAATACTGACTGTGATTCTAGGGCGTGTGGTGTTTTATTGGCAGTAATTATAACTGGACCACGAAAGTGTTTTCTTCACTCGCAGGTAAGATATGAAAAACAATCCCACGCCTTTTTTTAAAATTATACTATCATTACGGCCGGGCATCACATAACATCTACATCTGTACAATGTCTCAAATGAGTGTAATTGTAGCGTTAGCTTACTATCAAATGATCCGACAGTTTAAATGCACAATCTTAGCAAAATGAGTTCTCGATAAAGATAATTTGACAAAACTATTTCCACCAGAAGCTTACCTATGTTTATTTATTTTTTTATTTTAACGCTGTAAAATTATTTATTTTCGTGTTTGTTTTTTCAATTTACTTTGAGTTCTGCTTTTGAACTGTATGCCTCTTCAGAATGCAACATTTCTTTTAACATTAACTTTGTAAGGCCTCTTAGTCATAAACTCTTTAGATGCTGGGAGCATTCACTTCTTCATTGCAAATATCAAAACAATAAACGTCGTGCTGGTGCTGATTTAATTGAGCTTGGTAAAGCTCAGGATGTGTATAAAAGCAAATCGGTGCAGGACTGACCTTGATTTTTGAAAGATGAAACAATCGGAATAGAAAACTAGTAAGTTTATCTCAAGGGAGGAAAAAGGACAGCAATGGTGCCATTGATTGTTCTCCAAGGAAGTGGCACAAGAATGTTTTTTTTTTTAAACTATGAAGTAACAATTAAAGTTTGAACAAAATATGTAAATTTAAAACGTTAGTGAACTAATGGGTTGTGCCGGGCTTCCGCTAGATGGCGACACCAAAACCTCTAGCCGGAAATGTTTCTTCTTCTTTTCTTTTTTTATTGTTTGTACAATCTACTTTTATTTTCAAACATTAGAGAATACAAAATTGCGATATTTAACTAAGTATAATCATTAAAGGAAAATTTAGATTAACATACGAGACGTTGTCCTTATACGACTCGACGTCCATTTGTTTACCTCAATGTATCTTACCTGAAACGAAAACTCGTCACGAAGTGTGGTAGGTCGCGTAAAATACAAGTGAATAATACAACTTTGCGTCGCAGTATTGAAATTTAAATTCTAGTTATGCGTTTTAACGTGTTAATAATTTACTATGCATAAATTTGCGGTGCATAAATTGCGGCTGCGGCGCACAGGTATACCACGTGACCACTGGCAGCTCCCGCGGACGCCAAATACAAATTCGTTTTGGGCCGTAAAGATAGCTCTTAAATTTTTTTTTTTTTCATTGTCAAATTGGTTGCTTGGCATCCTTATTTCCGTCTAGGCTGTGGAAAATGACTCTTTCCCTTTTCATATGTCCTTAAGGCTCTCCAAAATCACTTATACACGTCTATTGAGGGTACAAAAATACGAACGTCGAAAAAGTGTTTACGAGCACATTTAAGAGAATTTGGGGTTTTATTTGCTTATGGTATCTGTCTTTGAGGTGATTGACCCTTTATTTATGTTGTCGAATCTTCAGTCAGTACAATTGAATATATTTTTATTATAATCAATAAATTTGACTGTATAAAGTTCACATTACCGACTGCGACCGACACGAGAGGACGATAATTGAAAGTGACGCCAGCTATCGAGCCGTTATGCGGAAACGTGCTTTTTTATTCACTGTTGGGGGTGTGAAACACCGGTTCGCGGGGTATGAGCATTGTGTTACATGAAAGATCTAAAGGCAAATACATGAAATGTGCAGAAAGAGAAAGATAATAAATTCTATTCTTCACGTGAATCCGATACACGATGCCGTACTGCAAAAAGAAACACACAGAGAAGAAATAACATTCCTAATTACATATAAAGAGAGCGAATGATAAATGAAGATCCTTATAAACCACAAAATAAATTCAATTTGGGCATCAGCTCGCATGAACTCAAAACTTCGCGAAATATAGCCTCGAAAGGCTAATGTTATATCCGATTTTACTTGAACTTGTCTTGGGCCTTGACTTTACAAATTTCTGCTTTATCAGTCATGCGCTTTAACATTTCATTAGGCTTCCGTATATTATTGAAAAAAACTAATATATAAAATACACAACTTTACAGTTTGGACATATAATTTTGCTAGTGCTGAAGACATTGCATTTCACAAAAAAAAAAACATTGATTAACATTTTTTTCACGTCTCGTCATCGCACTCTATGCTGGTGATCATTCCGATTTGTTTGCCGAGAAAATCAAATCCGGTGGCGCAAAATTTACGCTGCGGTAGTTTCGCGCGCAGTGCAAGCCATCTATTTGAGAGACACAAATTATTCTTGCTTGGTGCAGCATCGTGAGAAAAAATGCAAGCGTCTGGTTTATTAAAAAAAAAGCGCTTTGTTGCAATTGTGTTCTTGCAAACAAAGCAGTTTCCGGAGCCACACTTTCTGGTCTGTACCGAAGATGCGGGACAGAGGAACTTTTAGAACACAGGATGTTTTACTTTAAAACATCTTGTTTTACTTTAAAACATCTTGTTTTACTTTAAAACATATTGTTTTACTTTAAACCCACTTCTTTTCTTTTTTTTTATCGTTGCTCCTCCTCCGGAAAATACTTTTTATTCTCGAGAGATAGTCCCTCCTAGTTTTGGGTAACAATTCGACAATTATATTTCAGTCACGTGTCAACAATAATCATTAATTGCTTATATTTTGCTGCCAAAAGCTGCAAACTTTCAACGAGAGTTGGGGAGGAACTTGAGAAGGACACTACTGTGAGACAAAATGGCTGCCAACGTTCGGCTGTTCTTCTGAAGCCACAAGGCTCTTTCCTTCCAATTATCCATCCCGTACACACCTGCAGTTGGATGTGATGTCGGACTGATAAGTCACATTTATTCCTTCCTATGCTTCTATCTTTGGGGACAACTTTTTGAGGCAATTCAGCAACAACAAAAACGTGTTTTGGTGCAACAACATGTGTTGTGCAACAATTTTTGTACTTTCACTAAATACCGCTATGAACTAATCCCTGACGTTTATAAACAGCAAAAACATCCATTAGTTTTCCTCTCCGCGCAATGGCACACGCATAAAAAAGAAGAAGAAAGACACAACCTTCCCTTCCTCATCTCGCAATTAATAAAAGCGCGGCAACATGACTTCACACTAATAGTATACCGTCAGTGTTTATCATAGTCATCCGCCATAGGGTTGGCCAAGCATAAAGAATTGACTGAGCTTCGTACATTTCTAGAGTTCGGCTCTTCTCATCTTTGATTGAACACCAGCAGTTATCCGGATGTTTAGTGATGCTGATTGTCATGAACCCAAGCACTGGACTCGGGATCATGATAATCGACTACGTCACGGTGTCAACAACGCTGATGAATCCAGTGGCGTTCTCAATTTAAACCGACTTGACGCGGCGAGTCACGTGTCACGTAAGCGTCAAAGGCCCACGTGACGTGACATTACTTTACAGCATGTCCTGACACCATGATATCACGTGAGCACACGACATATGACTAATCATAGTGCCAATACAAAAGCGCCACGAAAACCAACAATTTCTCATACATTGCAATTTTGTACTTGACAATTTGATCAAGACAGAAATACAACTGCCAACGATGTATTCTCATATATTAATATCGTGATAATAACAATTTTAAAAAAATGTCGTGAACCGTTTTGGACCGGTTACCGTTATAGCTTTTTTTTCCGGTTTAGTTCAAGCTCAGTTTCGAGGTGGCGGCGAATATTTAGATTTGGTTCAGTTCCGGTTCGGCTAAATATAACATCTCGGTTTTTGTTTTTGGTTCGGTTCGGTTTCGGTTCGACACTCTGGCTGAAGCTAAATGGAATTTGCGCATACGTTTTTTAAGGTGGAGTGTGTGCTTTGCCGCAAAACACTGGGGAGATCCAATCACTGCGACCTAGGGAGGGAGCTTGACCAATGACGAAGCTGATACTATCTTAAACAAAACAAAAATACGGTCTGCGCAGTCGCATCGAGAATGACATTTCACCATGCTATGCGTCCAGCGCAGACCATTTTTTTTTCTTTTTTGTCTAACTATATTATCAGTCGGCTCATTCAACGAGGCGCCTCCACAGATTGCAGCGATTGGGTTTTCCCAGTGCTTTGCGGGCAAGTAGACGCTCCAGGTTCATAGAGGGTGGTATGACCGAATACATCAAAGCCTTCTTCCGTTATTTTTTTGTTATTGAACCAAACATTAATCACAACAGAACATGAACAATCCTTCGAGATTATTTTGATGTTGTTCTTGGATGCTTAAAGCCGGAACATTAAAGAATTTGGTGCAGCATCATTTTAATTTGAACAGTAAAAGTGGCAATGGGTTAGTTGAAACGCGAGCTTGAAAATGACCATTTCTCTGTAAAAAGTCTTAAGCAGGCATCTGGATTTCTACAGAGACTGGATCTGCACATGCATGAAGTCGACAAACAATGTTCAAGGAAGCAAGTTTGTAAAACTATGCTAAGGGTCATCAAACATTCATTCAAAATTTTATCAAATTAATTGTTGCGTGTATGGAATAAGCTTTCAGCGGTACATATACAGTATCAATGTTTAAACAAAGCATAAAAATGAAACTATTACGCGTCTGACTAAAGCACAAACTTTACTTGATCTCAGAATATTTGTTCCTGGCTCAATTTGTTTTTTTAACAACCAATTTGCACGGCAAAGAAAACCTTAATGCTTATCAGAAAGTTCTTGGTTCATCCAAAGCATCATAATATCCGTACCTTTGAACTTTTCGTCAATTTTATGCTGCATTTTTGCGACAATTTCGGGCGAAAAGTACGATTTCCAACCCCCAACTGTACCTTTCCGAACAAAGCTGCACTTGGCCTCCTTTGTATCTTGGCTCGCCTCCGCAGTTGAGATAATTGGGACATTGGCGCGCGTAAATACCTGCGACATTTCTTTAGGGTCGGTTCGCAACAGATTTTTCATAAATTCAACGCTGCTCTGTTCAAGAATGAGTTTCAGAAGCGCGCTGTCACTCCGCACCATATCGCCGTACTCCTCGCCCAAGAAGCGCGCCAACCTATGAACAACGTCCACCTTATCCCTACAAATCTCCTCGTATGTAACGAAAAACACATTAGCATCGTGTTTGTGATCGTAACCTGAGATGATGTGGTCGAAGTAGTCACCGAAGCCAAACCGTCCGTCGAGAAACGTGTCCAGGAAATCGCCGAATGCTCCATCGGCAAACTCGAACAACGGAAAGTCCTGCATCAGATGGAAGTTGGACACGCAGCAGTCCCAGGGGTTTCTGGCAACGTAGACGTATTTGGCTTTGTCACTGAGCCGCAGTCTGTTCATCGGAAGGTGCGTCCGTAGGAGCCTCGGAGCACCTGATGCTTCCCGCAGTCCTTGAACCTCCAGGAAGGGTGCCCGCTTGTTGAATTCGGCAAATGTGTTCGTCGATTGACCCTTGTTCAAGATGAGCTGGATCATTTGCTGAACCAAATGCGTTCCGGATCTGGTAAAAGTCACCTGCGTTTTTTTAAATTTTTTTTTATTGTTACAAGTTTCATTTTTACAGCGGAGCTGTTAAGGGCTAGGTTCCCCAGGATCGTGTCCGGTATCAAACGCCTGTCGACACAAACCTACCTGGACACTTACCGCCATCTATAAGTGACGGCGGCAAGCACACAACCAGTCTGGATGCCACCGTCGCTCGTAGATGGCGGCAACCTTTCCAGCTAGAGTAGAAGAATGGATAGTTGGGCGCGTTTGTGGAAATTCATCGTAGGAAACAGCGCGAAAAACAGACGACGACAAAGAAGCAGACGTAACGAGCGCAGCGCACCTCACGTGTGTTTCTTCGTCATCGTCTGTTTTGCGCGGCGCTCTTTCCTACGCTCTGATCAGTTTTGGTCATAGCCTCCTCTATACGGAGAAAGCCTGGCACATCGACGACGGAGCCATAGAGCGCGCGGCCGCAGGAAAAAGGAGAGGAGGAGCGCGCCGAACGGTGACCAATATGGTAGCGCAGAGCAGAAAGGGCAGACCTAGACAGCGAGCGCTTGGGTCGTGAGCGGCCGCTCCCCGAACCACGCTTGTTTTTGTGTTTTCGTCACCGTCGTTTTTGTACTCCGGGAGAAACGGGCGCGGCGATTCGAAAGGGCGCAGGGAGAAACGGGAAAGGGTGGACGTTGAGTTTCTCCTCTCCACGATAGCGACAAGAAAAGAGAGAGAAAAAAAAAAAAGATTGTTTCTGCGTTTGGCCGCTCGCTCTTTTGTGGCGCTAGCGAGCTAGGTTCTCTCCGCTCCCGTTTCTCCGCCCCTCCTTTCCCATTTACGGCGGCCGTCTTTTCACGCGACGCGCCAGGCTTTCTCCGCATAGAGGAGGCTATGGTTTTGGTTTGGACTTAGGATGGGAGGGTCGCGCGCCCTTTTGGGGAAAGAAGACTGGCTGCGGAAGGAGCGGCGACGTACGCATGCAGCGCGAATAGGTCCACAGCCGCCGCAAAGCCGCTGTCGCCTCGACTTCCTCTGCGTCGAGCGCTTCAGATTCCCTTGCCAAAGAAGAGCACATCGCTCGCCTGGAAAGCCATCCGCCGAGAACAGAGCCGGCGATGTAAAGGGCGCCGGCAGGCCAAAGCTACGGACGACGATCGTGCCACGGAGGCCAAGCGCAAGCGCGAGGCCCGGGGACGACTGCACTCCGCGCCGGCTGAACAGTTCCCGGGCGCGACGGCGAGGTTCCGGAGGGGGTTCGTAGATTACCCGTTTGGCGTCACGTGCACCGTGTGCGACCGACTATGGTTCGCCGGAGACGTATCCACGATCGGGGGTGTGTCGAACGAGAAGAAGCGGGAGACGGGCGCGTGCGCGTTGCGGCAGTGCATCGAGTACAGCTCCGCTGGTCTTCCTTCTTGACAAAAGTGGAAAGGCTGAATGTATTTTTTTACTTGATAGCATACGCACTTTCAGAAAAAGACTGCGAGGTCACTTTCCCCATAAAACAGAAAAAACAGTCAATAACGGCCAACCATAGAGGGATCCCAGTGAATTAAGAAGCTCAGAATACGTCTAGACAAAAAAAAAAAAAAAATGTAATGTGTGGAGGGACCGTCCGAATGTGAGACGTCGTGCTTCTTGTCCATGAGCACATGACAATTTATTTTTCTCTAAGTGTATTCTGAGTTTTCTTATTTGTTTATTTGCTAGGTCTGCTGTGATTGAGCGTGGTTGTCTGTCTTTGTATTTTGTGGAAAAGTGAATTCAAATAGTTTCTTAGAATATAGGGTGACAAGAAGTTGAGACGTTCTTTTCCCCTGTCTTTTTTCTTCGATCAAGTTTCTGAGCTTTTACCACAGTCTTGGGTATTCTACATAATGATCAACTTCCACCAGCTCGCCTGCGCACTCACTGTTTTTTTCTTTTCAAAAATATTTCCAATTTCTTTCTTTCTAAAAAAATTCAGTCGGGTGTGATTTGGGTATGCTTAGCCCTTAGCTTATAAAAATAGAATCAAAATTTCTCATTATACTTTTCGCATATTGTTGATTATATAGCAACTGACAGCATAATACACGCAAAGTGTGAATAATTTTGAGTGTCTCATTATTGCTTCACAACCAATGAGATGGCAGCATTGGCCTAATCATGAAATCAATAAATTGAACGTAAATGTGCCACTCCCTTCGTTTGTTAAGCTGGCAATGACTATAGTCTGGGCTTATTTCATGATGTAGAATACCCGAAACTGTGGTAAAAGCTTTGGAAAAAGAGGATTAAGGCGATTTGCTCTAAATATTGCTTAGCTACGTACATGGCCGTTCAAAGGTAAACACTGCAATCTAAGCTTGCAGTGGCAATGAAAATAAAGTTGGAGTTATTAGTCTTCAAATTTCTTTCTCGGCACTGATGTTCTAAGCAGAGTATATTACAATCGAGGCAGACAATAAAATCCATTCGTGAATTATTTGGACCAAATTAGCTCTCGATTGCTGGTTTATGCCGGGAGTTGAATTCAACGTTGTTGAGAAGGCGGTCAGTCTGGTCGGCATATTAGGATACAGAGGCAGATGTAAAATTGATTAAAATAGTACTGATCGCAATATTTCGAACAGCAACATTTAAGTTTCCAGTCGGGTCCTGGTTTTTACTGTGTGACAAAAACTTGCATTTTATGCAAAAGGCTTATTGTTTTTTTTTTTTTTTTTAGTAATGAGTGTTTAATTTGAAAGCTACTGCACAGCATTAGTGACGCATGCGTGAGCAAATAATTACCCTCACCTATTTACTCTTGTACCAGTTCACTATAGTCATTCACAATGCGGTATCGTGTGCGCCAGTCCCTTGCAAAAGAAAATAAGAATATGCGGAGTCACCTCAATTATGTCCCCCTCTCGAGGTTCAAACTCTAACGCCTCAATGTAAGAGGCGGGGCTATAATAGGCCGAGCATGCCTCGCCGTTGATCAGCTGGGTGGCAGGAACCCTCTTGGAACCGTTCATGGCCAAATAGGGTGGGGCCGCTTGTGTGCCTGAAAAATAAACATCCCCATTAAGTTCAAACAAAAGCACGAAAGCAGCATTAGCGGGTAGAAACGATTTGACGTTTAGAACAGCCTCTGGGACGACGTTTAGGAAAATCTCGAGGGTGACTTCGTGGACGACGTCGAAAACGACATCACGGAAGGCATCTTGGACGATTTCAAGGACTACCCCCAACGACGACATCGAAGACGACATCTGCATACGCGCAGCGGATTCGAGGCCAGATCCCGTATTGCGAAAACCGGCTGTAGTGGCTAAAGAATGCTATTGCAATAAAAATTCCCAGGATCACGCCGCATTCACTATCCGTGATCAGTTTAGCAAACGCATAAACACGACAAGCGCTGTGACGGTGCTCCTTTTTCGCCGCTTGATTGACTCCGTCAGATCGTTGGCAGCGCCCGGACGTGAAGGAGTAAAGCCCGTTTTCGTGTCACGGACCGGTTGCCGTATTGAAATATGAGGTAGTTGGGTTGGGCGGAACAAAAACTAAATGAAGAAGTTCAAGCCCAAATACAATGACAAAAAAAAAAAAAAAAGGACATAGCAAAGGAAAAGGTATAACTATTAGCACGAACCCCTCGAACTCTAAAGCGCCTTCCAATTGACATATAATGGCTGTATTCCAAAATTTACTCGATCCTACTCCGGAGTAGTTTTCGTACCATGGCGTTTCAAAACTTACTGGCGCTTACTTGATGACGTCAGAACTCGCGTTTCAGAATAGGGTTGTTTACTCCGGAGTAATTACTCGCGCTACCCTCCTCGATCGGGGGGTAACGTCGGATCAAATCGAGTAAATACATCACGTGATCTGCTCGTAGTCTGCTTTCTGCGGCGACGGCCTTCAAAGCTCGCTTGCTGCGTTAGCTTTGGTAGCGGACGTTCGAAATGACAAAGAATGAGGTGTAGCCATTTATATGTGGTTATTGCGATTTGCTCTTTTCAACGCAGGAATTGACTGCATCACATCCAGAACGTGCGTCTTCCCCGGGAAGGTATACCTGGTATTATCAAAGTGCGAGCGTAAACAGGAGCTTCTCCGCATCCTCGTCCTCGGCGTTAGAGGGGATTCCGTATTCTCACGTTCAAAGTTGAAAATGTTCGAACGCTGTAGTGCAAGTGTTTTTGTTTCCCTCAGAGTGTGTGTGTAATGAGAGGATGACGCTTGTAAAGCAGTGCAGGCTTCGAAGATTTTACGTATGCGGGGAGCAGGTTCGTCTGCTCCTTGCACTGGGTGTGCGATGATGTCAAAACACAGAGCGCTTACTGACTTATTGGAAAAAATAGCGGGTACACCTCAAGGCATCTAGCATTAATGTCTACCCACTATCATTTCAATCAGCCAACCAGAGCTCGGTGTCATTCTGACGTCACTGTAACGCCTGCGCAGGAAGCAGACGATTTGCGTTCGTATATGATCGCTGATCGGTCAACAACCCCTCCCCATCTCCCTCCTCAAGAAATTGCCTATAGCGGTTTGGAAGTTTTCTTTGTGATTTGGTAATCATATTCGCGTCAAAGCGAGCGTACGTTACATATCACCGTTGAAAAGGCCCCGTGCGCTGGAACGTAATCGGTGCAATTTACGATGCGTGGAACATTCGTGTTTAGGGCACCTGGACGAGATTTACAGCGATCGCGCTGATTAATAAGAACAAATTTTTAATGTCTAACAGAAAGGAGTAAGTAATTTTGAACTCAGTATACAGCTCAAAAGGAAGGTGAGCAAAAGGAGCTGGTGGAGCCACCTCAGAAAACACCACGCCGTCATTAATATAATCGTCTCTTCGAGTGTTTTCTCCAGAATCAAAAAAGATCGTCATTCATTTTGTGCCATCGCTGTTGTGTTTCTTTTTGACGCAGCCCAAGACGAAGCCAATCCGCGTAGTATCCAGGTGATTATCCCGGCCGTTCAAAATCGAGTCGCGGAACGTTTACTCGCGATGTCCCGTGGAATTTCCCGCTGACGTAGGAGACAGGTTACTCGGGTAAGATTAGGAATATAGCCAAAGTGATCTGCTATTTTCCACCCGATTCATCTACGTCGAAATTCAACATGGCGGCCGCTACGAAAACATTACCTGTAGACGTGGCACTAGAGAAGACAATAAAACACGATTTTACGTACAGAAAAGAGACAAGGTCCGTAGGATGTGGCCTAGATTACCTTTCAGAGAGAAGTCGGAGATCACCTTGTCAAGAGAGAGTCGAAGGTTGGGTCTCTCTTTTTTTTTTTGCGTTTTCTTGACTGTAGACGGCGGATACTTTCGGGGACTTGAGCAAGGTGCGTGCTTGCCTCGCGAACTTGAATTGATGCAAACGTAAGCTCCTAGAAAGACCTCGAATCATGCGACGACTCCAGCTCCTAAACAGAACTCGAATCATGCGACAACTCCACCTCGTTGATAAATACCTTTTGATTCTTCTTCTTTTTTTTTTTTTATCGCGGCACGTGTATCGTAAAAGCTGGGTGACACATTTCCCACGCGCACGACCGACCGATGCCAGATTGTCCCCCCCCCCCCCCCCCCCCCCCTTCCAAAGTGAGTGCTACAACGCGTCTGCGTGGACATAAAAGAAAAAAAAAGAAAAGTGAGCGGACAGATGTTACCTTCTTTGACACGTGCTTCCCTGCAGTCTACCTCAAGGTCCCTACGCAGTGGCGTTAACCGCGCATTTCGCGTAGGTTTTTGATACACGTACATGCCGGGATGATAACGAATTCAAAATGACAAATGCCTCGGAAAGTGTAGAAATATTTATGTAGGTTTTTTTGTTACCTCGTTTCATGTCCGACCGCAAACGGCGATAAGAGGAAGGCAGACAAGCAGCGTCAAAAGCGCTTCATCACGGCATTTATTTTTTTGTTTTTGTGGGTAACCGTCTGCGAAGACGCCTCGGGCATCTTCGAAGCCCGTTTGCTTTATACATTTTTCTTTTTAAACCAACCTCAACATGGTTTTCGAAGGACATTTTAGTGTGAAACTCAACTATCACTCACTCGTGATCTTCATTCAATTTTAGACCGAATATCTCGGGCTAACTGCGTTTTTTTTTATTTTGTTACCTTACCAATGCTTTTGATAATTGGCCTCGTAAACTTTTGCTTCTTACATTATCAGAACTTAATATGAACTCTGACATTCTCGCAAGGATTCAATCTTTTTTCCCCGAGTGCTCTCAATTCGTAACTCAATATTTCCAGCTCTCTCTTGCAACCGTTGGTTCCTGTATTCCACAGGACCCTTAAAACCATCTTAGGACCATTATTACTCTTAATTTATGCTAATGATTGTCCACTTATATCTCCTCATCTATCTCTTTATTTGCTGATGGCTGCGTGATTTACCGGGAAATAATCGACCGTAGTGTGCTCCAGCCCGAAATTAACCATATCGCGCGGTGTGACTCATGGTCTATACGCCTCGCAAGTGGGCTCATTTTCGTCGTCTGCGCATGAGAAAGGAGGCGCGAAGGCGGGAGAGGAGGTTGATGACGATTCCGACTAAGCTTCGCCCTCGCACATGTCGGGGGAGGCCGGGGGGTAAACAAACATCGGCGTCGGCCATGGCGGCCGTGCTGCAGCGGCGACCGCGAGTCTTTTATTTATTGTAGCCCGGTTAAAATTTGCCGAGTCCACAAGATCGAGCAGCTTTGTGCCCCTTACGATTCCTCCGTCGTCTGCTAGAGGCATTTCGAAGATTCCACGATGAAGACGACGGAGAGCATCAAAAAGAAGGCGCTTGCCTAGCCTCCGATTGAAACGCCGGTTGCGCCGGTCACTACGAGACCGCCGCCCGATTGTACCGGTAAGTTGCCTTTTATCTTGTTCTTCCTTTACGAACACGACGGATTTTGCCTTCTAGTAGGTCGTTATAAATCTTGTGGGGCGGATTCGATAGGCGCTATTAATCGAAAAACAGCCGGGAATGTAGCGTTTTCGCGATCCTCCGAAGCCTATCTTCGCAGGTAAAATTTAGGAATTTATACTCGTCATTTCGACTCGAAGCTGCACGGAGGCCGTATAAGCTATGTTTCGTTTCATTTTACATGCGATCGAAGTTAAATCTACATGGGCGAATCCCGAGCTTTGATCATAGCTGCCATGCACGTGCGATCTTGCAGTGCAAGCGCTGATCAAGATACTCACGTTTGTAATTTTCGCTACGTTCGCACTTAGGTGAGACGCAGTATAGGCATACATCGTATTTGGTATAGTAGTTTCAGTCTACGGTTGTAATCATGGCATTGTAGAAAAGCACAGAGCTCAAGACTTACCGCAAAAACCCGATCGTTTTGTTTTTTTTTTTCTTTCAGGAATGAAATTGGAATGGCTGTTACGTGTAATACAGTGAACCAACTCGGACAGTACAAATCTGCCGTTTCACATTAGCCAGTATGAGTGAATTGCCAACGAAGTACCGATGCCGCCTTTCTGCGAAATGTGTTGCGCAGTGTATCTCGAACCACATCGACGCTGTCAGTGTCTGACGTGTTTTTGCGTGTCGCTTGTATCCTTTTTCGTTCCCATACCAAGATGAAAATTCGGAGATCGCACACTATCCAAGCCTAGCTAATGAGCGCCCCATGGAATTCACACGGGAGTAAACAATGACTAACATGTACATATTTTTGTTTTGTTCGCTCAGCAGACTGGGTCAAGCAAAAGCCAGTGTGTAAGCGACAAACTTTCTTAGATCATTTGTCATTTCTAGGTCCCAGATGGGCTGTTGACATCCAGAAACTCCAACAGATGGTGGTCATACAGCGATTGTGAAGAATGTGAAGACAGTCCCATTTGGATCTACATTCCTAGTCCACTCATTGATAATCTTTCCTTGTTTCATCAATGCCCAAGTATGCCAGGCACTGAGTGACTACTCGCATGTGTTAGTGGTGGTGGCATGAGAGGCTTCAGTATTGTCGCTGCAGATAGGGCTCACCCTCACACCAAAGCTGTTTGTGGTGTACCTTTCCATGGAATTGTTTGGTTGATTCCAATTTCCTAGAAACGCCAAAATTCAGTTTGGTGTGCCTTGCGGCTGAAGTAGATTCGTCAAGGAGGACTCGTCTTTTTCCTGGGGGTAATACCATGTCAGCTGCTTTGCATGAGCCACTTGGAAACTGTATGGACTGCTCTAAAGCACTTGTAATTGACCTTACCTGTTGTGTCCATGCTACTGCTGAAATGTAAAGTTCACTGAACCAAGTTTTACTAATGAACAAACACAATCAGTGGAAAGGTTGAAAGACTTTATTTGTTTTCTCGAAGTATACACTATTTCATACATAATACATGATGCTGGCAAGGCTACTTTCATTAGCAGGCAACTTAGTCTGGATTCTGTTTCACGATAACTTGGTGAACTGTGGAGGCTACGGCTCCTGCGACCCAGTAAGAATGTCGGAGCGAGGCACATGGACGCATGTCACAGGAGCGTTCGTGTCACCGCGCCAAATGCAAGAACCACCCGCCAGAACCGGCTGTCGTCTGCTCAGAAACCAAACAACTTTGGATGAACGTCCACTGCAGCAACGTTACCGTCCACTAGAGTAGCGAGCTCTTCAGGAGCACTTTTATGAGAAAACCACATGCTCAATTTGCCCATGAATCTGTGGCGGGTGCTAATGCTAGGGCGATGTTTTGAGCGGAAGTGGTCGATTCACGGCTACAATTGTTTGAACATCGATCACAAGCCATGTTTTTCTCAAAAAAGTGTTTATCTATATTAAGTGTCGTTAATAAGTGACATATGTCTTCGTCTTTCTTCAGTGTCGTGTTGCGGTCCGAAGAATCCGACGGCAACACTACTAAAAGAAGAAGAAAAAACAAAGCCTAGAACTATGTTTTGTCGCAGATGGCGCTCTTGCTGTGGCAATAACGAGGACTCGATCGCGGAGTGTTGTCACGTGCCTGGCTCCGATGCTCTTATTGGGTCGCAATGTTTGCCAAGTTACCGAGAAACGGAGTATAGTGTCTCACCTGTACACGCTATAAAACAGATGAGATGCCAGGTGTAGCAACTCTCGCAGCTGTAGCCCTTATATTATTGTTTGCTATGCTGTTTGGAAGAATACATAAAAAAAATCAGTTTACAAAGCCGAATCTAATTTTTTCCACTCTTGCATGTTACGAAAATAAAAGCATCACGCCTGAACACCAACATCTGTCTCTAAAATATTCCTTGCTGAAATGAAAAATAAATATACTGTGAATATGAACCAATACAATCTCAAACAAGTTTAAGAATGAATATGACTCAATAAACAATTATTTCAATCTGCAAGCTTGAAATCAAGTATGTGTGTGCAATAAATACCCTAGTCTTTCGACTATCCCCCGTTGACACTTGTTCTCGAAGGATAGGGACTTCGTCGATTTCACGGCAGTTCAAGCATTGGTCAGGCAACATGCTCGTGTTTATAGTTTCGGCTGTGCTATAGGAATAACAAAGGTGAGTTGTGTATTGCTGAGTCAAAGCAGAACTCTCAGGTCTAAAAGGCTTCTTAAAAATGCACTAAATCTGGTTTTGACTTCATATTACATGACTCGAACATAAACTACTCAATTCAGCAAGTCTAAGAATTCACAAATAATCTGTGAACATGTATTCTGCTTTTGTCTTCATTCACTTATGAAACTGATTGCATATATAAAATATGCAGTCAGTCTTGCACACCTCCCCATTGCGAAAAGGAAGAGGGAGATTCGTTGGCTTTTTTGCTCTCCGGAAAGCAGAAAAGGAACATGTTTCAATGTGCACATTACGTTGAAGTGGGTGGTCTTTCGACTATCCCCCGTTGACACTTGTTCTCGAAGGATAGGGACTTCGTCGATCAAATTTTGCATGCATCTTCAAAATTCATGAAGTAGGCAGATTACTTTCAAGTCATAAGAGGAAAAAGTCAGAAACAACTTCAGCTCGCCTTCAATCAGATTTTCCCATTAGATCCAGGGACGTTTCACCTTCACAAGGTCATCAGTACCAATTGGCATCCATTCCGGACTCTGTAATGGTAGATGTACAAGCTTGACCTCAAGGTCGCAGTGCCCTCCTTTCATCTGCTTGCAGTGCGACCCCTCGTGCACTTGGTCCCAGATGGTGAAGCTGGTGCTGGACAGGATGTCGTCCCCTGTAAAAGAGTCGTCCCAGTAGTCAAACAATCCGGTTACACTCTTGAGCAGCATATTTGTCCTCCCATGCCATTACCAACTGAAAATCAGTGAAACCCTATTTTTTTTAAGCAGCAGAATGCATAAATGGACATGTCTATTCCATTCCCTTCGTACCGAACACCTGCCAGCATCCAAGGGATACAAATCAAAATAAATAACATTGCATTATTTGCTCTTTTGAGACTCCTCGAACTTAAACCAACTCAAACACTACCACAATTTTAAAGCTGGGAACTTCGAGGACACCTCTCCATATACTGAGATTACATGCTTGTCCCACCCCTGGCTTGTCCTCAGCAGGGTTGGCCAGCGTGTCCTCATACTCCTGGGTTTTTAGTCTTGGAAGTTAAAGCTTTGGTTTTTGTCATTGCTTGGTTGCTGGTAGATGCTGGAGGAAGCTCGTACTGTTACTTTGAAACATCAAGTTTACAAATTGAGCACTAACCCGTATTGATGGTCGGATACAGAAGCTAGATTTGTCATGTCAAGAAATTGTCATAAAACAGTAGGCAAGGGACTGAAATTAGCAGCGGAGTGGGCGACCGAGGTGCATTCGGGAGTATCGAAGACGACGAGGTGTGTGTGCTTTGCGCGAAAGCAGGACGATCGGCCAGAGATGTGAGAATGTGGCGTCGAGAGAACTTCAAACGGGCTGACTGCATGACTGTTATCTAAGCCACATTAACCAGAGGAGAAGAGAGAGTAACAAGTGAACGACACTCTACGGCTGAGGAGGTAATTGACCACGTTACTTCACCCAAGCATCACAGTAGTCATTTCAACGACCAAGAAAAAAACGTCCAAACATCAGCACAGCAATACCAGCAGCGTGCCAAGGAATCGGGTTGTGTGTATGTTTATACAGTCTCGAACTTGATCTGCCTCAACGGGCGATGAGTCTCCCAGCTGTAGATGACCGCTAGCCTGGGTCCCTTAACGTGCATCACTTAGTAGTGATGCACGACTGCACGCCGGTACAATGCTCATCCAGATCGAAAAGGGCAAATGTGGGATTGAACACACGATCCTAGGTTCTGCAGTGCGAGCTTTCACTCCACATTCTCCGAGCTGGTGCGTGCAAGCCCCCTCGGCCACCAATGCCCCAGTGCCAGGGAATAAGATATAATAAATGACAACGGTACAGTGGTCTGCAACAGGTAGCTTTTCAGTGCCTTGAGCAACCAGGTTGAGATCACGTGACACTTTCCTGCCATATGTGGCTTCCAAAATAGAGATGCATAAGTCATAAAGCAAGTAATAATTTGATTTTGTTTTACTGAAGACATCAGCATCTGTATTTGGCTTCCACAACTTCTGAAAGCTACCTCTGAGTGCATAGAGTGGTTTCTTTCATAATCTTACCTCCATGGAGAACTTCCCAGCTGGTAACGGGGCCGGGAAACGCAGACCCCCTGGAAGTCGCACAGGCGCCGAGGGCATTACACAGGGCCCGCAACATGTCCTCCGAGCAGAGGGCCCTTTCAGTAGCACGGCAGCCGGTGGATTCTGTTGGAATGATAGGGTAGGGGGAATACAAACATTTGCAAATTAACGGACCTAAGAAAACTAATAGGCAGGTACGAAAACATGCTACTCGCCCCCGCAGCGTTTGCCTCACTGGCGCTTTATGGTGAAACAAATCAGCAGAGAGCGACTGATGAAACACCCGTCAGAAGAACAGTTCGTCTTGAGTTTAACACCCTAGGACGGCGCTTTATTGCGCGCGTGAAGCATTGGCGTAGCCAGGTTTTCTTGGGGCCGGGGGGGATTTCGGGTGCGAGGTACTGAACACCCCCTCCCCGGCTACGCCACTGGCATGAAGTGACATCGGATGTCACTTAGACACGGCGCTATCACTGCTAAAATAGGCTACCATCGAACACTCAGTCATGACTGCGAAGTTTATGACCCACATACAGATATCCTACCACACTATGTGTTTGGACAAGTGGCATACAATCTGTCGCTGGGGGGAAAGACTAATAACAGACGACAGCGCACTCGGCTCGGTCGTACCAGGTCGTACCACACCTATCGCCTAATCCGCTGCTTCTTCGTGACATTCCCCTTTTACGTGCAACTGTTCATAAATGATGCGAACTGTACAGAAACGACGTAACTCACCCCAGCGAGCGCCATGGCGCGGTTCTCCGGGTGCCAGCGCTGCGGGAGATCGGCCTTCGAAAGCTCGGCAGCCCGTTCAGCTCGCCGAAGAGGGCTGTAGCTACACTTCGGTGCTTCACGGAGACACCGAGACACTTGCTGGCGAAAAGGGGTCTCCGCCAAAAAGTAGAAAGGCTCACTCGTGTCGCACATCACCGTGCTGACGTTGGGGGGCTCACATCAACATCCGACCGCGGGAGACCGGGACGCATATTGGTGCTTCGTATGCTCCCAGGGTAAAGTCTTTCGCGTCAAACGAAGTAACGTACATTTGGAGGTATTTCCGGTTTCTTTTTTCCGTATGCCGCGTCCTCGTTCAAGCACTAGCAGTGGATTTCCGAGAGCCACAGAAAAGGCCTTCCCCAATGGCTGCGGAGAAAAGACGACACCGCTTTGTTTACCCCCGAGCTCCCGCCCGGAGCCATCCTCCAATCAGAGCGCGGCGAGGTGACGTCACGCCACCGGCCTGCGCGAAAGAGCAGACGGTTTTCCCTCCGTATAAGCTTTGTTGTTACAATGGAAATCTTTGGGTCTGTTTCGTCAGTCCTATGAAAATCCTAATTATATTCTTCATCAAGCTAACTTAGAAGCTCTTGCGTCCTGCAAATATTTAGGCGTACATTTAACTTAGGACCTTTCCTGGAAAAGTCGTATTCCGTAAATGGCGTCAAATGCTAAAAGCACGTGAGGATACCTTAGGCGTAATTAGGTGTAATTAAGTATTACATAAGAGGGGAGGGGGAGAAATGTGTCGGATAATAGAATAGTCACAGAGAAACAATAACAAAATATACTATAATAGACACAGCCGAAAGTATGCCTTTACTCAATTTAAATGGGCTAGTAGGAGATTATAAAAGTCTGCTGTGATGGAGGTTGGCAGCCGGTTTCATTCAGCCATGCCCTGAGGATGGAATGATTCGTGAAACGCACTATTTTTATCGGAAATGCATTTAATTCGACAAGGGTTATTCAGGCGGGATTAGGAGAAAATGCCTTTTCTCCCTAGAGGAGACAAAGCGCCCTACTCTCGGGGGATGAGAGGATGGTGCTTTTTTAGCTTCGAACAGAAGTAATAAACTTTATATTAAAAAAAAGGTAGAAGCGAGAAAGCTTCCTCCGGGTTTGAAGGTGTGCAATTCCAAGTTGAAATTGCGCCACTTTAAACGTTTTAGAGAAGAAATGCGAATGGAGTCGTCGTGTGATCACAGGAATCGGGCTGTACGGTTTAGGGTTAGTTCTAGATGGTTGACTTGATGAGGGCTCTAAATGGCAGAAGCATATTCTAATATAGGTCTTACGTAGGTTTTGTAAACCATCATTTCGACATGAAATGGCGCGCGTCGTAGATTACGTCCGATGAATCTGCAGCAACGGCTTGGATGTGGGCTTTCCATTAAAGGTTAGGCGTTAGTCTTATGCCAATATAGTTATTCTCTGGAACAGCTTCAACCCCATCTTTGTCAATAGTATAATGAATTGTAAGAGACGACATTTTAAGAGTGAATTGGATTAGTTCGCACTTTGTTTTGACATCAGCCATTTTTAGCACCATGGTCGTTAATTGTTTTGAGGTCACTTTTAAAGGGACACTGACAGGGTATTTATGCTCGCCGAGGTTTTTAGTTGTACGTGACATATGAGAGCTCAACTACCCAGAACAGAATTTGCGGCTCGAAATTCGGTTTCTTTCCACCCGAAAACCGCCGATCAAGAACTGGCCGGTTCGAGTCTCGCTCACTCTCTTTTTCGCGGTCACGGGCCGTTTTCTAAGGTATCGATGCGACCACCAAATTTAATCAAAGTCGTGGGTCACTGGCACACACTCAATATTAAAAATAGAAAAAAATATGAACCCCATTTTTTGTGGCTTCTAAAAAGCTGTAAATACGTTGATTGAAAAAAAAAGTTCCACAGACAACCGGAAGCATTCTGTGCGTTCGTCGTTTCGTGTATCGTGGGACTCGCGGAGACGGTGATGGCAGCGGACGACGGGCGTGGGACCTCTATTTCAGAACTGTCGTTCGCGGTACCGGCGAATTCTGTCGACCATTAAAAGAGAAATTTGGGACTGATCAAAAGAATTGGTATTCATCCCGTACGACACGCCCGGCCACCAAGCCGATTTGCACGAAGACGTCGCCGAGCCGTCGCTCCCTTCTCGTGGCTGAAGACATCGCTCGCGCAAACGTCAAGCACGACGTGTCTACTTCGAGTTGAATATGCACGCGTACGATTTCTTCACTAGGTGCGAATGTCCCAAATGCGTGGTGCTTCCCGACTTCGACCCGGGAGTGCTTTTTCTAGAGAAACATTGACAGCAAGCTTTCCAACTTACAGTTACCGGCTGAATTATTACTAAGGAAAGAGATCCGCTATTGAAGAAATGCTTCAGTAGCTCAGTGGGAAAGACGTCCGGTTCACACGCGGTAGGATGGGTTCGATTCCCCGTGGAACTTTTTTTTTTTTTCAAACATTTTCCGATGTTTACATATCTTTTTTTTTTTTTTTTTTTTACAATCATCACTGAAGAAACAAACAAAAAAAATAACAAACAAATGTTGTGGGCGATACTTCGCTGAAATAAATGGTATGGGATTTCCGTTTCGACACCTCCGAACTCCATGTAATCACTTTCCACAAAATGCAAGGAGCATATAAATCGGGTAGCGTCCGTTTTCCGAGGTGCCCGTAACTGTTTTGCAGGAATTGCAGCCAGCCATTGGTCCCGATCCCGTCGATCTTTCGGAAACTCTGTCGCACAATGCCACTTTTTTTTCGGATGCAGGACATATGAGCCAGCTCTTCACGCAACATCTTGGGCGTATTCTTTTCGGAGCCGATCATGGAAATTCACCAAGGGCACTCACTACTCATCTCCAACTCCTCAATGTACAAAACAACTCATCTTGGAGTACAGAACAACGAGCGGAACAAACATAACTGCAAGTAATCGCACGGCGAGCAGTTCCCGCACGCCGCATCGCACGCCGCATGTCGTGTCGTCTGCTACGGAAAGGAGAAAAAAAAAAAAAACGCACGGTCGGGTGTAGCCACGTGACTTCCGCCACTCGCTCTCTTCTCTCCACTTCTCCGACCTCTGTCGGGTTTTGGTTTCGGTTTCGAGCAGTTGCGTCTTTTAGCTTTATTAAAAAAATACGCTACTCTGTTGCAAAATATTAATTGGGCAGTCCTCCAACATCATAATAAAGCGCCTGGCAAAAAATAAAAAAAAATTTTGGGGGGGTGTCAGTGTCCCTTTAAGCTTGAGATCAGCGTTGTGGAATGGGCACCCCCTTTCAATTCCAATTCCTTTCCGGGGAATTAGAGTTTCCGACAATTCCATTCCTTTCAACTCCTCGAAATGGAGACACTGGGCCCATTCCACTCCTGGAAGGGTTGAACTTCACCATTCCCTTCTTCTAATTCCTAAAGGTTGAAAAACATCCATTGACACCCAGATTGTGTTACTGAAAAAAAAAAAAGCAGCATAAAGTTGCTAACGCTATCAAGCGCGGTGATAACTGCAAAAGTATGCAAAAGCATCCCCAAATTATTCATAGTACTAAAATAAAGGATATACGCACAAGGCGCTTCGTGGCACTTGATGCTGCAAACATGCATCGGTCGCACTCTCAAGCGTAAAAGGCTTGCGAGTCGCAAGAGAGGCCAACAATTGAAACCACCCATTTTCTTCGTAGACGGACCGTATACATACCCTCCACAGATACATGGTTAGCGTGTTGTTTGTTTGGTAAGGCCTTAAAAATGTAAAGTTCGTGCGTGGCGCGAAAAGCAGCTATCTTATCTCCATGCACCGAGGCAAAAACGTAAAATCGCTGACAAAGTGAAATCGGTATACGGCGCCAGCACAAAAGACTGTACCACCATATTATGGAACCTGCCCTTAAATGTAAAATTTAACGTTTACTGCGCATTCAATTCATTTTTTTTTGTATTCCACGCAAACACTATCAATTAAAAGCACACTCTAAGAAAAAAATTAGTAAAGAAGTATCAACAGCGCGTCTTCCTTCCTTCTACTGACGCGGCCACAAGCATACACCACATACACGAGAAGAAGGTAGGAACGAGAGTCACTAAATAAGCTACGCTTCCAGAGTACCGCATTCCTTTTCTTTGGCATTTTGCCGACAATACGGTCGCTCTATTCAGCAATACTCTGGTTCGCTGCGGCATCATTGGACAGCGGCAGTAACGTGAGTCGCTATCGTCATCATCGCGTTTTTTCAACGCCACCATCTTGGGTCCAGTAATCCTCTGCCTGCTGCTGTTTGGTGTTTACTGCGCGCGCACGCTGAAATCTGTCGCTCAACACGCGGGTTTTCCGGGTTACGTCGAGGTACGAACCAACGTTGGTACGGAGAACACGACTTTGATTTGCTGCCACAGCTGCGGCCGCGGCAGCTGGAGCAGGCGACGACTACAGCTCGGCTTGGCTCAGCTACAGTCACTCCTCATTTGCGCGCGGACCCAAGATGGCGGCGCCTGGCGCGCTTCAGACGCGAAGTTTGGGAGTTTCGGTACTCTGAAAGCGTAGCTTTATTTAGTGACTCTAGTAGAAACGAGTAGTTTTTCTTCTCCAGGCAGATGGGGAAAAGGTCCACCTTCCCACCTCATCTTCTTTCGGTTTCGTTTTTCGAGCACGTTGTTGAGTTGATTGAGCTTCAGTGTGTTGGCTTTCCTCCGATTAAACGAACTTTTAGGAAAATAAAAGACTTTAATACAGGAAAATAAAATTAAAGGTTACACGTGCGGCGAACGCACACTTGCATGCCGCCATCTTGCCCGCATCGCTGGCCGTCTGCCCAACGTTGCTCCCTTCGTTTCGGATTTCGCTAACACTCGGCCACTGCTGGCAGCGAACTGTCCTCAGTTCATGTGGCGTAGTCCCCAAGGTACGAAGGTCTTTTGAGCACACGCGTGCTACGCCTCGGCACACTGTCTTCTTCGTCGGTGCTTGATTCGTCGGACGGTTCTTGGAATCTTCCACCCCATCTGTTCAGTTGGCTGATGTGGGCGGTTGTTGAGTAGACCCTCTTCTTTCCAATCATTCCGGTCACTCTGTAGGTGTCCGCTGGGAGTACTTCCGTCACAGTCAGAGGGCCTCTGAACTTATGGGTTTTTGTTGGGACGCCGGTGTGCTCTTGAATGCAGC